CACAACTAGTTGATATTGGACTATGCAGACTGATATCAACTAGTTGTTAATTAAAAATCTTAAGAGAATGGGTTTAGTTAATCATTAATGATCACCAATTCCAAAATAATGCTATTCTATCTGCCACCATTACTGTCAAAGGTTCATTATGCCAACTTAACTATTTATTACAGCTGAGGCCGGATCGCAGGGATTTTGTCTGAGTTTTCGATCTTTAGATTAGTAAGTAAAACAAACTAGTGGAGTAATTACACATAAAAATAATTCAAAATCAATTCCATAAAAAGTTAAATCCTTAAGATTGTTCATAACCCATACCTCATTTCATTATAGAAACAGGTTGTATACTTGACTTAGTATAATTGTAGTGCCTGACCAAACCTTAGGCGTATAACAGTATTGTCTATTTACTAATGGCATATATTTAAATGATCATTTTAAATTTGCACAAGCAGCAAGCAAAAAAATGTAAATGGTCATCTTTTTTGATGATTGATCCTTTTTCTCCGAGACACAAAATAAATTAAATCCAAAGACTGAACTATAACAGCATAGTACTTACTTGTAATGTATGTTTTGTTTCCTTAAGAAATTGTGCATGTATGGCAGAAATATGTCAAGTTGTTTTTGGCGATTGCGGTAAGTGACGATGATCGCCACGCTTAGCAGAGGGTTGCATTGTGCCGGCGCGAAGCTACCGTTCGCCAGGCCGCTCGCTGAGAAGTCATCGTATTTGCGCGGAACCTCCCAGCTGTTAAGAGTCTCTTTGCTCTCCAATGTGGAACTGTAGTCGCAGTCTGGTTTTGTCTTCGACAATGTTAGTTTCGGATTTATCTGCTTGTATAGTTCATTTGTTATGTATTGCCGTGGGATGTGCGTGTAGTTGTACGAACCGCACAAAAAGAAACCGGAGAACGTGACGAGCACGAGCGTAAAGCCGAGACACGCGGCTGCCGGTAGCTGCAGCACGTGCGAAACCAGCGGAACCCTCATCGGTCTACTAAACGCATACTATACTATAAAGCGGTCAATCTCTCTATTGTGTACCTGCTTCCAATGCAATTCTCGCTTGATTAAATAAAAAACAAAAACTAAAATGAGATTTTAAAGTTCGTAACTTCGTAAACATTTTTGTAAGTAACGGGATAATGGCACAGTATATTATCTTTCTGGTTTGAGAATAGCAGTACTCCGTAAAATTTTGCCCGATTAGAATGCGCAAAGATTATTACTTCTATCCACAAATTAATATTATTTTATAGAAAGTTTTATTCTACCCCCGTCTCTTTTTCTTTTAAATGTTATGGCCTCATCGAAGTAATCGATGATTTCGCCAATGTCAAGTTGTAGAACACACGCGTTTTTACTTAAAAATTGATCGGTGAATATCGACAAAATTCACCGAGGAAAATGTACGATTTTACAGTGGGTGAGAAATAGACAGAAATTTAGAATGACACTTGACAGCTTCTTTGACGTCATGTTTTTTTTAGTTTTTTTTTTTGCTTTTCGCGGTGTGGCTTGGAGCCAATATTATATAATTTATTTAACTTTATTTAAAAAACAAGAAAACCTTTGTGTATGATGCGGATTTAGGAGACTAAGCGAATCGGAAAAACTTAATTAAAATAAATGTTTACAACAGAAAAAAATTAAATAATAATAATAATTAATAATGGACCTATAATAATACAAAGATTGAACACTCAGAATAAAATTCCTACGATCCGGCCGGATTCGAACCGACGACAGACGTCGAGTTAATTATTAATAATTATAATTAATAACTAGTGGAGTAATTTCATAAAAAAAATAAATGTATACCAATTCAATAAATATTTAAATACAGTGAATAGCGACACCTCTAGCCGAGGCTGGTAGCTGTAAAGATATCTAACTGGGTGACGAAATACTTTCGTAGATTTCACATAGATGGCGCTACGGCTAAAAAGTCGTTGAAAAACCAAATATAACACGACAACAAGCGCATAGAAATATTCTTAAGGTCCGCTGGTTCGTTCCGTGACTTAGCGTCTGGCGCGGTAATGCTAGAAAACGTCGGTTGGAATCCGGCCGAATCGAAGGATTTTTTCTGAGTGTTCGATCTTTGTATTAATAATTATAATAAACTAGTGGAGTAATTTCACATAAAAAATAATTGACCATCAATTCAACAAAAAATTAAATAATGGACCTATCTTAATTTGTAATATAATGAAATAACTTGTACAATAAAATTATTAATTCACTATAAATTCACTAACAAATTCAATAATATTCAGGTTTATTTTCACAACTTAACACGTTCAAGGTATGTCCACAAGAAAAGTTTGGATGGAAATGGGACATATCGAAAATATAGAGTCTATCAACTCATTCCCTCGAAAAATTGTTTGATAGTAATTTTAGAAATCTTACGTGTTAAGGGCTACTTTGTGTGATTTTACTTGTACAGAAACAAAACTGAAAATAAATAAATAAATAACGAACACACTCGACATAGCCCCGTACTAGGGAAACCCTGTGTCGCGGGTGCCATGGACACACACATAGACAACCACAAATTACACCCAAACTCGCTAGAGAAATAATTGTAGGCCATACAAATATTTCTACCGGCCCGGGAATCGAACCTGGGACCTCTGCGTGGCAGTCCAGCATGGCAACCATTCCCATGCCACGGAGGCAGTTTGAATGAATAAATAGTCGCGCCTATCGCTATTTATGAGGCAGATAAAATATATTAAACTGTCTAAATTTATAAATTTGTATGTAGTAATAAAATAAAAACGTGTTAGAATTTTTTGAGTGTCAATAGTAGGCGCCCGCGATTTTGCACAGCCTATTCCGACTGGTTCCGGTTACCATGACATTGTTAGCTGATTTAAATGTGTTATAGTTCAGTAGATAATTGAATATCTATTGTTGATTTCCCTGACCGTGTCCAGTCACTGGTTCACGAAGTTCGAAAAAACATTCGGTGATTGCAAAATTCTTGTGCTCGTTATTGTTTTCGAATTTCTCTTCGCACACATAAGACGCCCTATACAAATTCGGCATTCTGAAAATGGTGGCCCATCAGAAACTATATTTGGCCTGCCTAATGTTTGATATAGTTAAAACCAGGAAATACCACATCAAATTAATTGGATACAACGTGTAAAGAGGAGTAAGTTCCGATTAGTTTGTAAAAATGTTATTTACATCCCAAAACACTGAACAACTGCTTTTCGCGGCGGTTTCAGGTATCGCGCCAGTAAGTGCTGGAATGATAATTATTCCTCCTCCGTTGCGTGACATCAATAATAAAAAACGATTTAAGCGTGAATACAAAAAACAACTTTTGTCTGAGCAGATATGTCTCGCTACATAGATATTTCCTTAATCGATGGATTTGATACTTGGGAATCTGAATTTCCGTACCCATATTATGTATATTGACATTTGGTAGCTATAATTATAATTTAGTATTATGTTTGTAAACTTACGTTATTATTACTACCTTACGCTTACCTACATTACTTATACTATTTACATTATTTGCTTTACATTTTACACTTTTACTTGGTAATGTGAAAAGTAAAGCAAATTAAGCAGGGAAGTATGTATTTGTGCTGAATAAACGTGTTATCTATTTAACTATCTAAGTATGAGATATATTTCTAAGCTAGCTAAATTTTATGGAGTATAGTGTAATTAACTCGAAAACTGATTTATCAATAATCAATTTAAATGATCAAACTCGTTTAAGGTCAATGATCACTAATTAATGGTAAAATATACAGCTGTACATATACCATTAATTAACATATTTATTGTTTTGTTGTGTATTAAATAATCTCGGTACACAGTACTAAAAAAACCGACCTCAAAAGTTATTCATCCCCTAGTTCACCCTTAGGGTGGAATATTTTCTTCAAATTTAAATGGGTTCACATATGAGATACCCTCGTTCTAACAAAAAAAAAGAATTATCAAAATCAGTTACCAAATGCCCGAGTTATCGCGTAACATACATACAAAAAAACCTACAGACGAATTGAGAACTTCCTCCTTTTTTTAAAGTCGGTTAAAAAGGCATATTTTGTAGGACGCTGCTATAAATTTACGTCGACCCTTTTCTTATTAATTTGATTTTTTTTTCTGTGGAACACTACAAAGCTTGACAAAGACTATAGGAGAACATAAAACAGTTTGAAGCTTAGACTATGGAAACTTTTTATTTTTTTCTTTCATTTTTTTCCATCCTCTAAGGTTTGAAGAGTTTGAACTCAATGTTCGCGTTTATGCCACTGCAAAAAGGTGAACTTATTTTATTGGAATTAAGAACATTTTTGGAAGAAAGGATGAAGGAAGTGGAATTAGATTAAAAAAATAGTTTCTCAAAATAGGATAGGTACCTATATGGTCCACTCAAATGTATATCGGGGAAGAAAGTGCTTCGTATTCTAATACATTAAGATTGTAAACATTATAAAGTAAAGTAGGGAGTAGGTTATTTACCTACCAGAGTAAGGTGCTCAAATGATATTACACTATAAAAGAGTTGTACATAATCTCTGTACTATTTTCCTCGTACACAAAGTTATATACTATAATAAATATAGTTCAATATTTTAAGGGCCCCATCATAATGGAAAGAAATTACAACCGAACAAAGTGTGAACGTGTGAATAGTATTCTTATTTATGCATATCTATACCCGTTAACAAGACATTATTATTTATCTGTAGATACTTAACCTAGTACTGGCGACCATTGTTGTTATTTATTTTTATTTTTGGTAATGACCTCACATGGTTTGCCTGGAAAAAATTGTGTTTATTAATAAGTTACATGTTACACTTTACGATAGTGTCAATAAACAGTATTTGCACTTATAAAAATTAGAATTTGTTTTAGTATCTTCGAGTTCTAGAATAAGACATTCATTATTACTAATCTCAATGCGAAATAACGCAACGGTTATAAACTTGTAAAGTGATGCATACGCTTGCATCCGCTTCATCATGTTATCAACCGTGGTGGTTACCAACATCCTTTTTGATTTAGTTTGTTTATCAAATCTAGGACATGGCAGTACTAAACTGTGTAACAATTTCTTGCTACGTGTATATTTATATAGGGTGTGAATAAAATAAATATCTAGAACAAAAAATATTCAAGCACCTAAACATTAAATGTCAGTATATATTAGTTATTACATTTATGTAGGTCACTTATATTACAAGCACGAGCCCTGTACCCCACCTATGGTGGGGTTGGCCTGCGGTGTATGGTCAGGTTCAGATTACGGGGAGTGCTCATGCTCTTCGGTGGTGGTGTGGGTTCGATTCCCGATTTGGGTTAATTCAAGAAACGAACATTTCTAAGTTGGTTTTGGTCTGAGTATTCTGGGTATTGCCATCAGAGTTATCGTTATTCTGTTATTCATAATATAGGAAATTCCGCAGAAGTTTGGCATTTTTTTCCTCTTAATTATTTGAATTTGGCGTAGCTTCCAAAGTAAAGGAATCTAACACAAAGACAGTCGAGATACAACAACGCTATTATAGGTATCTTATTTCCGCTACATCGGGGGAAGTATGCCTTACATTTTTAGTATTTTATATTTGTGAAATCTTGTATTCGTAATACGCCTCCGTATATTACCTCCGTATGATGGCGTGCGGACGCTTCGGGCTTCGTCCTCCGCGGACCTTTGCCTACGGCCGCGGCACTCATGACTTTATTTAAAAAAATTAAAATAGCTCTTCAATGGCGGCCATATTTAAAGATTGTAAAATATATTTTGCCCACTAATTATTATCAGATAATCCTAGAAATCTTTTCGTACCAATTTTCTGTCAAGTCTGCGCAAAGCATGTTTTTTCGACAACCATACATTATACATAAAAAAAGAAAGCTTGTACTGCGGCTATATCGAAAAAAGCAGGCAAAATTTTTACCCCAAATTATGATTGAACCCATGCCATTTTCAATCGAATTAGAAGAAATTTTTATCTACCGCCAAAATCGTTTGTATGGCAGCCATATAGAAAAATGCCGGAAAATAAATTTTGACCGCAAATTATTATTAAACACTCATTGAGACACTGATATGCCGATTTTCAGTCGAATTTTAATTTAATTTAATAACGAGCAAATTTTTATCTGCCGCTAAAAATTTTGTATGGCAGTCATAAAAAGGCGAAAAATAAATTTTGACTGCATATTATTATAGAAACCCCACATGCGGATTTTTAGTTGAATTACAGCAAATTTTTATAAACGCTTGTATGGCGGCCATATTGAAAAATGGCGAAAAACTAATGTCGATCATAAATTATTATCAAGCCAATTGTCTTTTTTGCACATGCCAATTTTCACATCTATGGCGGTCATATTTCAAAATGGAGAACAACAAATTTTGACCACAAATTATTTTATTATTTTCCGGCACTTCTAGAGACCTCCATATGCCAATTTTCAGCTGAATCAGCAGCTTGATTTTGGTTGCCTCTCCCGATTGGAAACTGCGTCTCTTCCGAGTCGAGGCGCATAATTGCGATTCACAACTGGCCGATTGGAAACTCGTGCCATTTCAAATCGGAACAATAGTTGATTTAACTCACAAATTAGAAAGATATACCTAGTAGGAATCAGGTTCGGAAATCCATCTGATTTCGAGACTCGAATGGGCTACCCGATCGGATCGATTCCGATTTGAATTAAAATCAGCCTGCAGAGCAAGTCTCTTTAGGCAGCCATTTTTAACGAAAAAAAGCTTACATGACAGCCATATATAAAAGTGGCGAAAATAAACTATTGACCCCAAATTACACCTTTTTATGACACCTAAATACCCCCGCATGACAATTTTTAGACAGATCGAAGCAAGTTTTTCTTCGACCGCCATTTCCAGTTCGCAAACTTGAATTTTTTTTAACACAGGCAGTTGATCACTGTTACTCTCTATGACATTCCTTCGAGCACGTCCTATCTATCTGTAATAGTTTCCGTGATAGAAGACCTTGAAATTTGTATGGCGGCCGTCTTGTTTTTTTTTTACATACGGCGGAAACTGGCCAGGGTGTACTTCATAAAAGTGCACAAATACCCCCTCTATACATTATAGTTTTTACAGGTCGTTGATCACTCTTTCATATTTTCCACATTCAGGTCATCTCATAATTGTATCTTTGCTTTGGGACCTATTCGCGTACAACGGTATAAATATCTTTTTCCACTATATCGGGAATTATGCGTTCTAATTCTATCAGTGAGTAAGAACTTGTTGCTTTGTATATATATATATATATATAATGTACAAATTGTGGTCTTATACGTGGGCGCACTATAAGTTTCCGGAATGAATAAGAAAAAATACTATAAATGGTCAGACATGAATTTATTGTTTCTCAAAATATTCTCCGTTAACGTCAATGCGCTTTTTCATGCTAATGAACCAATTTTGAAAAAAACATTTATGCCACTCCTCCGTGACAATCTCTGAAAGATATTTTTCATACTCTTCGACAGCCTCTTCAGGTGATGAAAATCATAACTGGTTCTTAATTTTTGGAAATAAATAAAAGTCACAAGGTGCCAGGTCGGGACCGGGTCGGGGTTCAAAAATTCATTTGTCTATCTGGTCGTGTGAGAACTGGCATTATCGTGGCGCAAGATGATACGGCGTTTACGGAGTTGGTCAATAACCTCCAGCAATTAAATAGTTGAGTAACAATCACTATTCACGGTACAACGATTCTCCAAAGCAACAGTAGCCACGTGTCTAGTTTTATTAAAAAAAAACAATCATCCGCTTAGAGGCACTTTGCACGCGCGCCACTTTGGTTGGTTTCGGCTCATCCCGAAAGACCCATACGCTCGATTGATGCTTTGTTTTGGGATCTTAACTATAAATCCATGCTCTGTCACCTGTTACTACGTCTCACATCAAATTTGACTACCCTTCGTTGAATCTGGTAAGCATGGCATTGCACTAAGTGACCGGATCCCTTTTTTGAGCCTCAGTCAAATTGTGTGGGATCCACCGAGAGCACAACTTCACTTCACTTCACACCCAAATGTTTGTGTAGTATTGATTCTATTTGACTCATGCCTATGCCTAAATATGCCCCAATCTCATGGTATGTCACATGCCTGTCTGTTTTGATCACAGCACAGCATCGACGTTTTTGTTGTTCACAGCAGTGAATGGGCGACCATCACAAAATATCGTCACTGAGATTCACGCGACTGCGTTTGAATTCTGCAAACCAACTATAAATACTCGTCTTGCATGGTGCCTCATCGCCAAAAGCAGTTTGGAGCCAAGCGAAACTCCGCTGAGCTGTTAAATTACACTTAAAGTCGTAGAAAATCATACCACGAAAATTTTCACGAGTTAAATCCATGGTGATGTAGACTACCAATTTCTAAAATGAGGCCACAATGTAAAAAAAAACAAGTGACAGTTAGATGAAACAAAGTGTATTCTACAGCCAAAGAGTTCCATTTTCAAATATTGTAATTACTTTTTAAATATTGTTTATGTAAGTGGTCAGTTCAGGAAACTTATAGTGCGCACTATGTACACCAGTCGAGTACGATTTGTTGTTTTGGTTGTTAACCCTTGTATGGTATGGTTAGTTTAGTAAGTACAGGGAGGAAGTTGACTTTGGTTTGGATTTCAAAGGGAAGTTTTTTTTATAACATAATGTGACATAACGAACAAGCCGTGCGCCTGATGCTAAGCTACACGCCTGTGCATGACAGTTACTGCGTGGCACTCTCAGAGCTTTAAATTGCAAAGATCTGAGGGGCACTACTATTGCACCCGTCACCCTGAGATATAAGTTGACGATTCCCATGTGCCTGTAATTTCACCAAATTTTTCTTTTCATTTTTCTTTTTGATGTATATTTAGTAAGTTATCATTTACCAATAACTTTGCGTTACAATATTATCTTATGTTCATAAGTGTTAAAATGAAGATAACATGACCAGCCTCTTCATATTGTTAGCACTGTATAAGTGACGAGTATCATGTGTCCCAATTATTTTATTGATAATATATTGTTTTAATAAAATGTGTAATTTTGTGTCTGTTAGAGCGTTACGCGCGGAAGTGGTGGCTCGTGCTTCGTGCATATTGGCGCGCATCGGTGCCATGAAGCAGCTAAAGTCCCGGTCGCCGAACTTGTATGAGTTGTGTACACGTGCTAATGTGACAGCAGACAATCAGCTGAGTACTGACGGTTTTTCCGCAAACGTAAATATCAACTAAATCAATCGACTACTTGCTTGTAAAGCAGTCAACCAAAACAAATAGAAGTGTAAGATACACAATTAACTATGTCCAAATAGAATAATAATTAATTAAATTAATGTTCAATTTATATACAAGGCTCCGATATGGGTAAAAACAACAGCGACCTCACATGCAACCCTCTCAACTCGGTCCGGGAAATTCAAGACTTCTTGCTCAACCCACCGGCGTGGAGGTCCCTGTGCATTGAATTACAGCCGCACAGCGAGTACCAAATAAGGAATTCCGAACTGATCGGCATTGGAGATATATCGAATGTTGACCTGGAGAAGACGTCGGCGTTCTGCCACTTCGATCCGGACTATGAAGACAACAATGTCAAGTTATCGCGCTTCAAAGAAGACTCGTTGCCCAAGACGCTCGTTTGTCACGACATGGCCAATGGGTACCACGACGATAGGTATGTTCGTGCAGTTTAAGTCACCAATTAAGTGACCCTTTACAAAGAAAATATTAATAATAATAATAATAACGCACACACTCAACATAGCACCGCACTACGGAAAATCCTGTGTCGCCGGTGCCATGGACATACATATAGACAACCACAAATTACACACAAACTCACAAGAGAAATAAATGTAAGCCATACAAATATTTCTCCTGGCTTGGGAATCGAAACTGGGACCTCTGTCTCTGTGCGGTAGTCCGGCATGGTAACCGTTCGGCCACAGAGGCAGTTAAATATGGCTGTGCTTTAGAATAGCTGAGTTTGAGTAAGACCTTGATATTATTTTTGAGGTACACCTAGTGAGAAGGAAGCTCCACATTTTCAGTTTTAGGAAACTGACGTGTCCGACATAGTCTACATTTAAAAAAATTTAACTATTGTGTACTTATTAATCTTCTTATTGAATTGATATTCAAATATTTTTTGTGAAATACTCCACTACTTTGTTATAATTATTAATACTATGATGTGCTATGAGTTATGGATAGAAAAAACTTTAATTTTCAAACTAAAGGCTTTAAACAATAATTTTCAAAAATTATGAAAAAAATTTGACACAGTATAGAATAGAATAGAATAAGCTTTATTGCACGCACAAGAAAACAGTGACAATGCAAAAATTATTTAATAAAAGCACACATATGCAGGTTTTTGTACTGCATTTCATCATTCCAAAGTCATCATATTTATAATTAATTAAACCTTAAGGTTTGTAAATTTTTATTGAGTTGATATTGAATTAATTAAATTTTTATTGAATTTATATTCAATTATTTTTTGTGAAA